TCCTTCCCTACCCCACAACTTCATCAAGCTGCTCCCAAAACCACAACAGATACTCCACCTATCGGCACAAGCAGCAGCAGCCGGTCTACATTTTCATTTTATACCCAGTTTAAGCCTGGTCCTGATTCTCAGAGATTCTGAGCACCTGCAGCTCCCACTGACTAACTGAAAATAAGGGTGCTCAACAACTGGGAGAATCACACTTCTGGTCTTTTAACGCTCTACGGTTAGATGAACAGAGCAGCATCTTTCAGCAGACATGCATTTGTGTGGATTATAGGCACCTATTTTAGACTTTCTTATATACATACACAATTAAAAAAAATACACATGCATTGTTGAGACTGCTAGAAACAAGCTCTGTTCTTCCAGGGGTTTGCAGAGCATAGCTGGTGCGCAGTGGAGGTTTCTAAAACATTCTCTGGAGACTGCAAGCCCTCCCCGCAGGACTCAGAAGAAAGAGACAACTTTTCCAGCTGTCTTCAGTGGAAGTTCAAACATATTCCAAGGTTAAATCACCTGCAATATGAACTACTTAGGGGCAAACCCTCCCCATCCTGTGATTAGCCAGAGTAGATGAACTTGATGCAGGGATGTCCCCAGGGTTGGAGAATGGAATTTCTCTGTCACTTCAGCCCCCACCTCCCCAGAGCTAAAGTAGCATTGGAGCAAGGCTGGGCCTCCTTTACAGGGCAACCGATGGTGGATCCATGTAGCTCCCTCCTGCAGGCTCCTCTGGGCTCATTAAGTGCCCATGGAGCTGCACTCAGTGACAGAGGATCAGGGCCGCCCGGGGATGGGGGGGGGAGGGGCGCAAGTGGGGCAATTTGTCCCAGGCCCCCACGAGAATATAGTATTCTATAGTATTGCAACTTTTTTTTATGGCAGGGGCTCCCGAAATTGCTTTGCCCCAGGCCCCCTGAATCCTCTGGGCGGCCCTGCACAGGATGGGCTCCCCAATTGCCAAGCATGCTGTAGAACTGCACGGGTTCCAAGGTAGACAGGCCCCTTCATAGCTATGGAGGAAGGAGTGGCAGCATCTACTCCTCACTGACAAGCGATCTAAGAAGACCTTTAGACTCTATCAGCTCCATGTTGAACCATCTTCAATGCCCCTTCTCTGTATTTTTCTCTTGGGTTCACCTATAGCACTATTTCTGCAAAGTCCTCGTTCAGCACAGCACTCAACGCCAGTACAATAGCTATAACAAAAGACAACCTTGTCTACTTCTATGTCTACAATGGACCAAAAAGAGACATTGAAGTTGGGGATTGTCAAAGTCTCTGCTCCCGTTAAGATTTCATGCACATACACACACAACGCTTGGCATTCACTTGGATAACGACACATCCAGCATTCACCAGAAAGGCAGCTGCAGAGCCTAATTGGTGCAAGAATGTACAAGACGCTAATCTTTTATTTGAGGCTGAGAAGGAATAGCTGTATAGCAGCCAACTGGCTACGGACCATCACAAGCTCAAATAAGGCTCCCTGGGCTGCTGCCAGTTTTTCAGTCACCTGATGTACATCAGATATTTCAGCTAATTTGGGCACTGACCCCTCTCCTCAGTTAAAATCAGTAAAAATAAAACATCCTTATGAGAGTTTCAAGACTTCTAACATGGTCACAAAACCCGCATTTCCAAGTGGCAATGCCTTCTCTAGCGGACTGTGCTCTTCCTATTGTTATCAGCGTTGGGCTTGCTGCACTATACAGGTAAGTCTCTTGGAAATATCTAAAGCCAATCCCCACCCATCCCCCATTATTATCCTCTCCTCGGTGGTCAAATATATCGGCATAGGTTGACGACGGTTTACTGCATATTGTATTTAGTTTCTGCAGCAAATATTCAGGGGGATCAGGGGTCATTAGGGGAAGTGAGTCTATGAACAAGACTTCACTTGAAGAGTACGTTTCCTAGAATTCTCTATGCAGACACGAAATGGTTATGGCACTGAACTTCAAGCATACCATTTAAATCCACATGGAACTGCACATGCTGTCTTGCTTGGACTGATGTGTGAAACTCTGGTTTACCTGAAAAGTCCCCCTGATGCACCAGGGAAAGGATGAAAAAGACTTTTCGCCCAGCACTATAGAAAAATCGAGGCTGTGCAGTTTGGATCTGGATGCAACTTCCCCAAAATAATGTGTGACTCTGATCTGGAGCTCAGGTCCATCTCTGCTACATAGTAATCTCTCAGTATTAAGCGCTAGCTGGCTCCAGGTGCACTGTAATGCTAAGGGCGGTGTAGCTAGCTGCCTACCCACTAGCTTTTATAAAGCTGGTGTCACCTTAATGGAATCTTACAAACTTCGCGCTTCCTCTCAGTCAGTCAATCACTCATTTCCTATCCCCAGAGCTGTCCTTTGCATCCCTTACCTGAAGGACTCTGTCGTAAGGTTTGAGGCCACACTGATCAGCCGGCCCATTGGGACGGATCATATTTACATAGACACCTTTCTCCAACAGGCCATCAGAGACGCTGAATCCAAAGTCTTCACTCTCTGGGTCCTTGTGGAGCGTCATCTGCATGGAACGGCATTGAACAAGAAATTCTAATGCAGTATGAGCCACAGATACAGGAGAGAAGCATGGCAGTACAGCCGTGTGATTCTGCTCTGGGTCTCCTGGTGGGGTTTTACTTGGACTGGGTAGTAAACATTGGTGGTCTATTAGTATTGGGAGGAGTTTAATTTAAACTTGTGCACACACGGCCAGCTATTTATACACGTCGTATGTTCAGACGCTTTGGTAATGGGCACATAAATCACAAACAAATCTTCTGCCCTAGCTTGGGGGAGAAGAAAAAAGTTTAAGTAAAGTTATAAATCACAAGTTTTTGGATAACCTACAACTTCTATATTAAGTCACAAAGAGGTGGACCGTGCTGGTCAAATAATGGAATTTTTAAACAATGGGGCAACTCGTATTTGCTTTGAGCTACTCTAGGCATCTTGTGTGTCCACCAGGCATGCTTAGGGTGCTGAAAATCTGAATGAAATTAATTGACAAAGATGAGTGTTTCCAAGCAGGTTGTTGAATTATTTACAGCTCTTACAGATTTTTAATCTTGGTGGTTTATCCAATAGCTTGCTTCAGAGACATCACACTGATGAGTTTTACCACCATTAACAAAATGTGGTAAAATGATGAAACCACAGTCCCCTCAAAATTGGGTCAGTGTTCACAATTTGTGACGGTGGATTGGGGTGTGACTTAGCTGCAGACTGGTACTGTTTTCGGCTTTGTGCCATTTTGGTTTTGCCCTTCTACCGCCTCAACCTGCTCTGCTCTTTCCTGGATGCGCCAATGTTAGGAATTGCCAGACTGTGGTGTTATCAGCACCAATAGCCAATCACTGAGTGAGTAGCACCAAATTCATAACAGTGCTGGCTGCGACCAAAAGAGCCCAGCCAAGAGCTGCTGCTTCCCTCCAGCTTCTCAAGGACTAATGCATCTCCACCACCAGCCGTTCAGACAGCTGACACTGAGCCAGCTGCCTGGGATCAGATCAGAGAAGAGCTGCTGTAGTGAGCTGAACCCACTTTAAGCCTCTCTCCTCCCTTCTTCCCTCCTCCCCAGCAGCAGAGGCTGCTGGTAGCTCATCCACCCCACCAGTGAAAGCAATATTTCTGCCTGACAGGAGACATCAGGACAGTTCTTTTCAGTGCCCCCCAGCCAGAGAAGCAGTGGCCCTCAGCCAGTGAGAGCCAGTTCAGCCAGGAGCAAAGCCCAGCAAACTCCATTTTGAGTCATATTTTGGCAACACAGTTGGGAATTGTGGGCTTGTAGGCACAACATCTCCCCACAAATTAAATCCAGAAGGTGGAGGCAGTGTATTATTGCCATCGCTACCATCATTAACTACCTGTGATGAATACCATCGTATTCTCCCTTTACCCCCAAGGAACTTGGCATGCAAGAGCTATGCTGTAGCTTGGTGTTAGACTTTGGCCTAGTCTACACTTAAAACAAACACAGAGGGGAGCAAGCCAAAGTTGGCATTAGAATTCTCCCAAAGTTTGGCGATATGGGGTAAAGATCTAGGGTCAATATGTCTGAGTCCATCTCTAGGTGGGAGCAAAGACCTCTGCTGCTGTATTCTAGTGGGAGGCCACCTTCCCATTAATCTGACACCCTGAGAACATGTACCGAAGAGATAAATGAAGTATTAATTCAAATTGACATTTGAAATGTTTCATTTGACCCAAATGGAATATTTTTCATTGAGGGTGGGGTGGGGGAGGGAAACACTTCCTCCCCCTCCAGTTTCAATTCAAAACTAACCAATTTTTTATTTCATTTTTCAGTTTCGTGGCTGATCCGGGAAAATATAAATAAAATATTGGCTCAGCTGTAGACATGTCGGGAACAAATGACAGAAAACTCACTTCCCAGCAGAATTTTTCTCCTGCTGCCCCTTTTGGCAGGCAACGTGCAGTATAAGGGCAAATTCCCTGACAGTCTCTCAGTGTAATCCCCAGTGTAACCCTGACAATGTTATTTGTAACCGAGGGATCCTCGGAATAACACTAAAGTGAACTCTTTCTAAACACAGACCTTGTGCAACTCAAGAGGGGTCGGAGACATGATTTCCTGCACCTCCTCCTTAATCTTCTTCATCTCCAGATTCCTCTCATTCTTCTTGGTGGGAGCGATGTTGCTGTCGCTCTGCCTGTCGTCGCAGCAGTTGGAGTTTCCTTTCCTCAGTGGGCTCAATCCAGACTCACTAACAGAGTCCACGAGCAGTTTGCTCCCTTCCAGGCCCAGACTGTGCACGCTCCCTGTCATGATGGACGCCTGTGGATAAGGTGGTGAGTTAGTTCAACTGGGCTAAACAAAAGTTTGAGTGGCAAGAACTGATGGACCCTAGAAGAACAAAAGCAACTGAGAGAGAAGCAGGTGACACAATGTTCAGCACCAACCAGAGGAGACGTAATTCTAACCCAAATGGTAGAAATGTAGTCACTTCTGGCTGGCTATAGGGGCCACTTACAAAAAGGGCAGGCATCTCAGCAAATGCTCATTGTTTGTCAGAAATCTTTAGCCAGTTTTCCCCCCATGGAAAAATGGAGGGATCATTTTTTATAAAAAAAAACACTTGTACACATTTTATGTACATAGGTACTTGTTCAAGGAACTGAAAAAAGAATGCTGGAATTAGTGCAGATCTAGCTGACATTCCCTTAACACAACCATCAACTCCCAGCAGTCTCTAGGAGGAGTTCAAGATTATCTTTTCGTACATTCAGAATGGTCAACAGTGGAACAAGCTTATAGTCAAACTATTGTACAGCAAAGTCCTTTATCTTTTCAATACGTCAAAATATGCAAGTTATACTGCTAGCTACAGGTTGTTTAGCGTGAGGTTGGGTTTTCAAGACAGAGAGAAGGTTCCTTCAAACGGTCTGGGCCTGGAGAAGTGATCTTTTTGCTTCTGAAACTGGTTTTCCTCTCAAGTGACAGGTTTTGCTTTTGTTTCTCAGAAACTCTATGTCATTCTATGGACATCTTGGGAAGGACATTATAGGGTCTGAAACACTGATTTGCTGACACCACTGTAGTTCATAGACTAACAGTTCAGTGAGGCAGCACCAGGGAAATGATACTGGCATACACATTATTGGGAAAGATGTGGACAAATTGGAGAAAGACCAGACGAGAGCAAAATTTTTTATCAAAGGTCTAGAAAACATTGCCTACAAGAGAAGACTGAAAACACTGGGTTTTTAGTCTGGAGAACAGAAAACTGATGGGGGAACAGGATAACAGTCTTCAAGTCCATAAAAGGTTGTTATAAAGAGAAAGGTGATAAATTGTTCTTCTTAACCACTGAGGACAGGACAAGTAGTAATGGGCAGCAAGGAAGATTTAGATTATACATTAGGAAAAAATTCCTAACTGCAAAAGTAGGTAAGCACTGGAACTGATTATCTTGGGAGGTTGTGGAATCTCCACCATTGGAGGTTTTTAAGAACAGGTTAGACAAACACCTGTCAGGGACGGTCAGATAATACGTAGTCCTGCCTCAATGCAGGGGACTGGACTAGATGACCTATCAAGATTGCTTTCAGACCTACATTTCTATGGATTATGGGGCAAATTATGGCTTCTTCACTACGGAAACACATAGGAAATCCCTTCCTCTTCAGCATCCCTGTGCAGAAAGAGCTCAGAATGCTTCAAGACAGCACTCTTTGAATGTAAGGGAGTGAGAGCCACTAACACTGCAAATAGGGCTAAATACCCTGAAGAGATGTGACTGTGGACTCGACAAGCAGCAGGAGGCAGACATGGGGGGAGCGCATGCTACATGTGTTCTAGAGATACAATAAAGACAGCAAGCAATATGCTTCCCCCATGCCTGTGCCTGCCTACTCAGGTATAAAACCTTAAGCCAGCTGCACTCTGATTTTGCACCATCTCCCTATAATATAGCTCTGGGAATTTATGGCATTAAAAAGATCGGAGGATAGTTTCTCGACGTGCCACCATCCCTCTAGTGTGCCAGCCTGCTCTGTTCTTTATGAGCAGGAAGGGAACTGAAGTATACCAGAATCTGGATCACAGAGAAGGATTCTGGTAGGTTTTGATACAATACTTGATTCCAGAGCTGCAGTATGTTGCACGGGCATTTGTCTGCAATGGCTAAGCAAGACAATACCTTGAGTTCCACAGCAAGTTTTCCATCAAAAATATTAGGATTTTATCAGGGGTGTTGGAACAATTTGTATAGCGGGGATACTGAGAGCCATTGAACCAAACTGTAAATCCTGTATATCATGGAAACCACTTCAAGCCGGGGGCTGGGGTGCGGCAGCTTCCCAGCACCCCTAGTTCCAACACCAATGGATTTTATATGTCAAGAGGAGGCAGCCTTCATTTAGGAAAATTGACCAAGCCTTTAAAAAGGTTAATAATATGAAATTAGGTAGCATTTAGGACCAGTCACCCTTCATAGCATCCCTTTAAAGAGCCCTCTATGTAGAAAAGTCTCTATTTGGCCATGTTTTTCATTAAAGGGATTATACTGATCAAAACTAAGGAATGAATCAAGAAATCGGCGTATGCAACCTCGACTGGCTCCAGGTCACACAATCTAAATTAGTAATGAACATCTTAATTCCAAGGTTCAAGCTCAGAAGTTCACTTAAATGTCAACAGGCACAAGAAAAAAAAATGAAAGGTAGGGAGCAGATAGCCAAGCAAAGCTCAGCAGTGGCAAGTCAATGACCAATCACTGGTGTGCACAGGGAAAGAGCCGTCTGATTAAGCATCTAAACAAATCCTTCCCCCCCCCCCCCAATGGAGGATTTAATTCACCTGTGCTAGTGTCAGATAGCTAGAGAAGATCAGTCTGCTTTGGCTTGGAACAAAGGAGGAGAATAATCAAATAGAATCTTGTGGCTGTGTGAAATAGATCTGCAATATCCTCATTTTCCTAAAGAGGGCGGTGAATGGAAACCTTATGTTTTTTAAATTCCCTATCACTTCACTGCCTTGTGAACTGGAAAACTCAAATACCCAAACTTTATTGGAGAAAATGGGAATCGTTCCATGGACTTCAATGGGCTTTGATCGCAAGTCTAGAGAGTCACTTTACAATATGCTCTAAGTAGGGAGCAGTGCATTGCTGGACTTCCCCAAGAGCAGCCTGGGATGCAAAGTCACAAAGTTCCATAAACTAGATACAATCCATTTAGGCTTAAATAGAGACTGGGAATGGCTGAGCCATTACACACATTGAATCTATTTCCTCATGTTAAGTATCCTCACAGCTTCTTGTCAAACTGTCTTAAAGGGGCTATCTTGATTATCACTACAAACGTTTTTTTCTCCTACTGACAACAGTTCATCTTAATTAATTAGCCTCTTAGAATTGGTTGGGCAAGTCCCACCTTTTCATGTTCTCTGTATGTATATATATCTCCTCACTATATGTTCCATTCTATGCATCCGATGAAGTGGGCTGTAGCCCACGAAAGCTTATGCTCAAATAAATTTGTTAGTCTCTAAGGTGCTACACGTACTCCTGTTCTTTTTGTGGATACAGACTAACACGGCTGCTACTCTGAAAAAAGTTCCTCCTGGTCTCCCTGTTGCTCCAGACCTATACCCAGCACAGCATACATCACCTTGTGTGCCAATGCGGCTTTGCTGGCCAAGTGTCTTTTGGGAGGGGGGGATGAGGAGGCGAGCAAAGTGAGGCCAAGGATCCATGTAGTCCTCACCTGCCTGCACAGATCAGGGGGAGTAGCAGCTGGGCAGAACCTGCTTCCAATCCCGCACTGAAAACTGTGATACAGGCAGCTCGCCTTACACCCCTCACTCCTTTGCATCACTGCAAAAGCCAGGCTACAATCTGGTCTTCTGTAACGACTGATTCCTAGATTAGAAGATGGATATTCAGCCAGTCCTGCTAGTGCAGGGTTGTTCCTTACAGAACTTTCTAATGATTTTTAAAGTGATTTCTGAAGAGGGCTTTCCTGCTTTACTTTCTCCACAAGGTTTTAAATTCCAACCTGCCCATCCCACAGCCAGAGACAATAACAGGACTTCCAACTTCCAGTGTTGTGGATAAAGACAAGAGAGTAGCTCATGAAGAAAGGAAACGCTATGTCTACAGGAAGCTGCCACCTTCTTATAAATTTTCCGGGGAGGGTGCGGAGGGGAGAGGAGTGGGGGGATTGGATGAAAATCTACCATTTATCTATCTTACTGAACCAGCAGTGGGTGTAGACATCTGAATGCAAGGTACGTGCTGGGCTCTCAGCCATCTAAAACAACAACTGTTCAGTACACACGATTTTTGGACCCATTTTGGCCAATCTGCAGAGCTTGTCAATCAGAAATACTGCTTCAATAGAGTATTTGTCATTTTTGGGGGGAGGGGAAAATAGCTCAGTGGTTTGAGCATTGGCCTGCTAAACCCAGGGTTGTGAGTTCAATCCTTGAGAGGGCCATTTAGGGATCTGGGGCAAAAATCTGTCTGGGGATTGGTCCTGCTCTGAGCAGGGGTTTGGACTAGATGACCTCCTGAGATCCCTTCCAACTCTGATATTCTATGATTTTATTACTATTGTTTGGTTAGCTATGAAGCTGGTCAAAACAAGAAAAGCTTTTTGTGAATATTTTTACAGTTGATGGGAAAAAAACTGAACAGACTATTAACAGATGAGTTGAGTGATCTGAAAGTACAAATATTTCAAGGGATCAAACTCTGATAGAATCCTTGCCCCTCCCCTGCATAGATATTGTCAACATTTAGCATACAAGGGGAATCACTTACTACAAGTGGTGAGAATGGACTGGTTAGAACAATTCCAAGTTGATTTACCTCGATCTCCCTCAAAAGTTCAGACTGGCCGCATGTTTCCAAGTCCTCCAAAGCCTCTCCAAAAACACGCCAAAAACTATCCTCGTGAGCGGTCTCAAGGCCGTTTTGGCGGTTGGGATATCTGTTGTAACGTAGGAACCAAAAATGGTCAGCACTCTTCTGCAGCGGGAAGAAAGCCGCAAGGCTAGGGCAAGTGGCTCACCAGTAAAAGCAGAGACTTGAAGAGTCTTCACATACAAAAGCAAACAATATGAACTTTTCGGGCAAGAGAGTCCAAATACAAAGCCTCCATGCACTTACTAACAGGGCAAAAGTCCTTCAAAGGAAGAATTAAGTTGGTGTAGTAATGTCAAGTTCAAAAGGGTAAATAAAAAGTGCATGTAGGAAGACTGTAGGTTTGGGAAGACGTTTTGGTGAAACAGAGAAGTGAAAGAAAAAAAGGATGCATTATGGGTAAACCAGGAGCCTCAGAGACTGTTAGTACAAAGGCTGATGGGACAGAGTTCAGATCTGAGACACAGAACACCTGAGAAGAGAGAGAAAAACACAGAGGGTAACAGACATGGTGAGAAAATGATAAATACATTAGGTCTCTGTGAGAGTAAATAATGTAGAGAGATGTATATAAAATGATTTGCGCTAGCCTAGACAAGCAATAACGCTGCAATTAACAACACAGGGAACTTGAGTGCAGCTCATATGACCCAGCATTTGCTTTAACTTAAGATGTATTTATCATATTGACAGTAACAAGGGGAAGTGGACAATATAGTCAAATAGATCTTCTCTCTCATGTCTATGAAACAGTGGCTGCACTTACAACATCACTACCTGTTTAAATGTTTTCACCAGATGTAAATGTGGAAGAAATCGCTCTCAAACTGGTAGAAATATTTACAGTGCAATACTGGGCAGATACAGACACGGCAGTGATGGGGAAATCAGTATCTCCACTAGCGAGCTACTAGACATGATGCAGGAGTACATTATTTAGACCTCTAAAGCAAATGGCAATTGAATGCACTGAAGTGGCTTGAGAGATTCATGGCAAGGGAATTATTAGCATTGTTTTATGGATTATGGAAGTGCCTAAAATATGCCAGGTACTGTGTAAAACAGCCCCCGAGACAAGAAACTCTCGATCTAATATCTTAAGGTCTCCAAGGAAGTCCTCTCTATATGCCATACTGAGAAACAGCAACGCATTATAAACCCAGCAGTCGGATAGTTCTACCGTATCTAATCTCAGCAACGCTATCTTCTACCAATATTATTAGTAACTGCATGTATAAGATGCTATCTCTGTGGTATCTGGTGACAATTTACATAGCTAAAATTGAGTCATTAACTTTTCAAATAAGAGAAGCTTCTCCATCAGTCAATGCTATTTAACAAAGATCAAATATTCTATTTGAACACCAGTCAAAAAGCCGTTGATTTTTTTCATCCAATTAACGGAAGACTCCCTATTTAAAAAGCCCCACTTCCAGATCCATACTAAATTTAGGCCCAGATCATGCAAGTTTTTAAACACATGCTTAACTTAATGCACTGTGTGTGGCCCCATTGGCTTCAATGGGACTATTCACACTGCATAAGTTTAAGCACACAAGTCAGTCAGTCTTTGCAGGATCAGGGCCTTAGTTTATTGCACTAGAGAAGTCCAAAGTTACCCAGTGACCGATTTTATAAAAATAAACAAAAACCCCTTTAGACTTAGACTGAAACCTACTATTATAATGCCAAAGACTCTAACTTCGCTTCCCTTCCCCATTCTCTTTCTTTGCTGTAAAGTTTCCAGTGAGATAGACACTTCCTACAGTTGGAGTCTCTCACATCTTGAATCAGCAAGTCAAATCTATCATTATAAAAATGCATTCAGAACTCTAGATTGGGGATCTTACATCACTGGCACCAATGCCTTTTCCGGGTTGGAAACAGCTGCGGTTAGATAGGTTAATTGTTTTCTCCCTAAGACGACGCATGGTCGAATTGGCTCTCTGACTTGTGCGTGTTAGTTTTCCAGAGCTGAGTCAGAATGGGTTTGGCTTCAAGAGCCATTACAAAGGCTCAACAAATATGGTAGCTACAGCTGTCAAGCAGCCACCCTATAGGAACCCTTAAAGCTTAACAGCCTCTGCGAGGCAAGCTGTTCTAGAAGGACCAAAATACATACAAAATATCAGCTGCTGATGGTTTTCCTTCCAGCTTTACTATTTCTAAATAGGTGGAAATGTACATGAGATGGTCTAATTTTTTGTTTTGTTTTGACAAACAAAAATTAAAAAAAAAAAACAACGCAACACACACAACTATGGGGCGACTGGAGAATGTCAAGGGCAGGATTAGTCAATGAAGTAGGAACTCCTTTCATTGCGTGTAACTCAGTGAGGGGTCAGCCCCTCTTCCCCCCTCAGGGAAGCCCTGTGTAGAGCTGCCTAGCAATATTAGGGGTAGGAGCAGGGGAAAAAGCAGACGTGAATCAACAACAGAAGTTCCATGGGAAAGCGAAGAGCAGCTTTGTTCCCTTGCACACCCACAGTGTTTATTTCCAGGCATTTCTGTAGCACCTGCAGTAGCCTGAGCCAAGGGCTTGATTCTGCTACTCTTGGTCACCTTGACTTCTTCAGCTGGACTAACTGGTGGAAGAAGGTACAACTCAAGGTGAGCCAGAGTGGGAGCAACAGGTGATAGCTTTAGGAGGTAGTGCTACCAAGTTATCCCTTCATTGTAAAGTACAGTGAAACCAGCAGTAAGGTCTGCCTCTAACAGGTAATCCACTGTTTTACACAACCTTGAACATAAGTCCAGGGGGTTTGCGATACAATTTTGTTATAACAACTGAAGACCCGCCTGCTTTAGGAAGAGAGATTCTGCTGGTCCTTGAAGACCGTTTCACTGTATAATGTCCCTGGGAAACTGCAGTGTTAATACAAAGTGTACTGCCAATGCAGTCTGAAGTGAAGAATTCATGGTGCATGATCTTTATCAAAGCCTGTTGGTTAAGTTACCAATAACAGGTCTAATTTTTTTTTTTTTAAAGATTACCTAACTGAAATTTGAGATTTGGTAGCAAACTGCAGTACTGCATGCACCTGATAACCCCACTTGCATCTTAAACACACACATACCCCCATCAGTGCATAGACTTACAAATCACCTCGGGTTTAAATCTCAAAGACAAGATGGTTGAATACTGGAGACTGTCACCATGGTACCCATGACAAGACAGGTCATCAACACCCTGCACTGTATGCGTTAAATATTGTAGATAATAACTGAATTCTCAGCAGTGACAACACAACTTAAGAGTTTATATGAACTGGGCAACTATTAGATTGTAGTTGGGAAGAGATTAATTAGGGTTACCATATTTCAGCAAGCAAAAAAGAGGACGGGAGGAGCCCCGCCC